TGGTGGTGGTGGTGGTGGTGGTGGTGGTGGTGGTGGTGTGTGTGTGTGTGTGTGTGTGGTACCTGGGATCAAACTTGGGACCTTGTGCTTGCCAGGCAGGAGCTTATGCCACTGAGCTATCTCCCTGGTTCTCTCATGCATTCTAATTCTTTCCTGTACTGTTCATTCAGTGTTTCCATCATTTTTGTACTTCCCTCTATTTTTCTTATCTATGTCTTCTTTAGTTGTACTGAGAAATTCTTTCACTATTGCTGTCCTTTTTTTTGGACCTGAGAGATTATTTGTGCTCTTATTTCTTCTGTAGCCTGAAGGACTTGTTTCTTTACTTCAGTTGCTGTCATTTCAAAGATTTCAGGTATGTGATCTCCAAGTTCTTGTATGTTCTTGTCTCCTGGATTTGTTCTGGGTGGGCTAGAGGATTGACATTGTCTTTTGCTCTTGTGTTTTGGCATTTTTGAAGCTCCCAGCAATCACCCAGACAGAGTCCTGCAGATTCTGCCAAAGTTCTTAAATTGCTGCAGGAAAGCTCTGTGCCTGCTTGCACTGCCATCCCACAGATGGCAGCTCTCCTGCATCCTGCAGGCCACTCAGAGTCCACCTAAGTCCTTAAAAGTTTGAACCAGCACCAGGGGAAGGTTCAGGCCTATATGCTAGGAGCTAAGGAAGGTCAGAGCTTACCAGAATCCTACAGGCCACCCAGAGTCCACCAAAGATCTTAAATGGCACCAAGAAAGCTTCCCCAACCCCACGTGAATTTGGCCCACAGATCACAGCTGTCCTGTGTTCCACAGGCCACTCCCACCTATATTTTTTAAATTTAACATTTTGTTTAGAAAGAATTGTACTTTGATAACCAATGTTAATGTATATTATGCAGAATTACTGTGTATTCTTTATTTAAGTTACCTGAAATGTAAAATTTAGCAAGACAATGAAAATTCACAATCAGGATAATGTTACTGATGCAGTGAAAATGCAGAAGACTTATCGCCTCAAGGCCCTTCCTGGTGTTCTTTTGTAGCCACAACCTCTTATCTTCCTTCTGCATTAACTCTGGCAACAACTAATCTTTTCTCCCTTTTAATAATTTTGTCATTTCAACCATGTTATAGAGGCCCTGAGAATGTACCCTTACCTTACAGCATGAAGGTCTGATTTTTATTACCAGCACTGCAAGCACAAACAAAACTGTCATAAATGAAACCACACAACATATAATCTTCTGGGATTGACTTAGTTGACTCAACAGAATACTGCGGAGATCCATCCAGGTTGTACATGTATCAGCAGTTTTTATTGCTCAGCACTGTTCCATGGTATGGATATATAATCAAGTACTTAGCTGTTTATATAATGAAGGCCATTTGTATGTTTCTGGCTTTGTGCTGTTGTGAATACTGGTGTTGTGAATATTTGTGTACAACTTTTGCTGACACACAATTCCTCATTTCTTTGGGATGAATATGCAGGAGTGTAACAGCAAGGTTGTATAGTGGTTATATGTTTAGCATTTTAAGAAGCTGCCAAACTACTTTCTAAGTGGTTGTAGAATTGGATGTCCCATTTAGCAATGTATGAGTGATCCAATTACCCTGCGAACTTATGAACATTTGGTGTTATCAACATTTTCTTCTTTAGTGTTTATGTGCTCGCTTCAGCAGCACATACACTAACATCTGAACAATACACAGAGAAGATTAGCATGGCCTCTGCACAAGGATGACAAGCAAATTCATGAAGCATTCCATATTTTGGGGGATTTACTGGCTAGTTCAGTTGTTTAAGCACCTGCCTGGGCAAAGCAGTCAGGCTTGCAGGACCATGGTCCAATCCCCAGCTCCACATGCCATACCACACCTGCACTTAAGGCAACCAGAGCCAGCCAAAAAAAAAAAAAATCCTTCTTTAATGTTTATGATAGGTGTATAATGCTATCTTAATGGGGCTATGATGTTAAACACACACACACACACACATATATATATATATATATATATACATATTCCATCTTATATCCTCTTTGATGACTCTTCATGTCTTCTGACCCTGTTTTAAACATATCACATATATATATACTATATACTATATATATATATACACATATATATATATATATATATATATATATATATATATATATATTTTCTAGGTGCTATTCTTTTGTGACAAATGCCTTGATATGTATGATTTTATGTGATTTTTCTTCCTTAGTCCATTATTGAGGTTCATGTTATTTATCTTTGAATATGAACAATTATAATTATACTTATAAAATATAAGCCACACTTATAATTATTTTACTATATTGCTGAATTTATTTATTAATATTTTATTAAGGGCTTTTTTGTCTGTATATGTGAACATTTGTCTATAAGTTCCTGTGTTTTAAAAATGCTCAATTTTAATTGTAGGATAATATTAGCTTCATAAAAGGAACTAGGAAAATTCCCCTTCATTTTTCTGGAAGACAGTGTATATAATTACAGTTAATTCTTTAAACATTTCCTACAAATGTTTGAAGTATAGTGATACCATCTGTGCCTAAAGCTGTCTATTTTGAGAGTTTTAAAATGACCAATTTAATTTTCTTTACAGTTAAGAATTACCTACTTCATATTGGTTGAGTTTCTACAGAATATGGGGGGAGGGGTTGGAGATGATTAATTTTATATAAGTGATCACATTTGTGTGTTGGAGTTATTCATAACAGTCTCTTATTCTTTTCTTTGTTTACAGGATCAATACTGATATTTAATTTATTCGTAGGATTGCACATTTGTGCTGCTATTTTTTTCTTCCTCACTCTTGTCAGAGATTTGTCAATTTTACTGGTTGATCCACAAAAGAGATGTTTCATTGAGTTTTCCGATGCTGTTTTTACTTTGAGATTTACTGACTTCCTTTCTTGTTTTTATCATCATCTTTCTTCTCTTTGGTTTAGATTTAATTTTCTCTTCATCATCGATGTTCTGGAAGTTGGAACTCTGACTACTGACTTACGGTATTGTCTTTTTTTAATGCATGTGTGAAGTACTAAAAGTTTCCTCTCAGCCTTGTGTAAGGTATAAGTCCACTGAGTTATCTGGCCAGCCCAGTATCTGTCTTTCAATCACCACATTTAGAGCATTTACAGTTAGTGTGATTTTTTTATGCATACAAGATTAATTTTTATATTTCAGTTAGTGTGATTATTGATATGTTATTCTTACATTTTCTACTTTGTTTTTTCTTTTTGTTCTGTTTTATTCATTGGTTTCTCCATTTTCTTTTTCCTGTCTTCTTCTAGAATTTTTCTTTTAGAACATAAATTTGGATTTATTTACTTATATTTTAACTGTATGTGTAAGGTGTCCTCCATGCCTTTGTTACATTTTTATTTTCATCCATCATTGAGTATTTAAATTTTTTTCTTAAGCCTCTTGTTTTCAGTCATGGATATGTTGCTTAGTCTTCAAGTGTTTGGATTTATCATTTCAGTTCCATTAAACTCATTGAATTTTCTGATAAGGACCAGGATATGTTCTTACATTGATTTGTTCCCATGGGTACATAAAAAGAATGTTCATTCTGCTGTTAATTGGAATTGCTGTAAAATTTTGATTGAATTTTGTTGGCTGACAAGAGATGGGTTCTCATGTACATTTTCTAATTTTCTGTGTTAGTTGTTCAATGAGCTATTGAAAGGGGTATTGAAGTCTTCAACTACAACTATGGATTTGTCCATTTTTTCAGTTGTATCAATTTTATTCATGTATTTGGAAGCTCTATTGTTTGAAACACACACATTTAGAATTGTTACGTCTTTATAGAGATTGGTACTTTTATGAATATGTAAGATCTTTCTTTGTCATTGGAAATTTTCTTTCTTCTGTAGTCTATTTTATATGACATGCTATCCTAAACCCTAGTTTTCCTTTGTTAACATTTACACATTTTGTTTTCTATATTTTTACCTCAATTCCATTAAAGTATCTTATGTAAGATGAGTTTTTTGTACATAGCATATTATTGAACATGTTGTTTAATTGAATCTTCCACTATCTGCTTTTCCTTTTTTTAATGTATGCAGGGAATACAGTCATGCTGAAGCAAGCCCAGTCTCAATGGCAGTCTCAGAGGGCGCTGGGGGCAAGGCCAGCACCTCATGTCACAAATCGAAACCTGGGGTGCTTTAGTCCACTGAGCTACCTGGCCAGCCCAATATCTGTCTTTCAATCACTACATTCAGACCATTTACAGACCATCTAATGTGATTACTGATATGTTACCCTTACATCTTCCACTTTTTTTTCTTTTTGTTCTGTTTTATTTATTTGTTTCTCCATTTTCTTTTTCCTGTCTTTTTCTAGAATTTTTTTTTAGAACATAAACTCACATTTATTTATATTTTAATTGCATGTCTTTTGTAATTTGTTGTGCTTGCCTCTACATGTCCTCCAGAAACCTCATGCAGGCACAGGTGCAGCTTCTCAGAGGTAGCTGGATCTGCAGCATATGATGATGGAATTAAGGATACGCGATTACTGAATCAGCCCACTGATCAGTTTGGCACTGCCTTAACATCGGGAGGTTAAGTGCAATATAAAAGAGACATAAAGGTGCTGTTAAGGTCTCTCATTTGCTTTCTGTACTGCCTTCTACCTGCCGTTAACTTTTTCTCCTCTGTGATGCCTGCCTCCCATCCCCCCCTGCCTTGGAGGCAGCCAATTATGGATTGAGACTTATACAAACTGAACTAAATAAATCTTTTCTCCCTTAACTTGTAGATGTTGAGTATTTTAGCCCAGAAATGACAAAAGGAACTAAAACAGAATTTTACACCAAGAGTGGGGTTGTTGCTAGGACCATACCTTATGTGGTTCAGGAAACTTTGGAGCTGGCTTGTTGGAAGTTGGAGAGTTTGGAAATGTATGGCTACGGCAGCTGAAAAAGCAGAGTTGGAATATCTTAGGCTATACTTGATTAGGGATTGTGGCCAGCACTCAGAAAACCAGAAGGCTGATAGAAATCTTGTTAGTAAGGAGCAGGCCTGGAGATTTCTTGCTAGGAAAGACTCCATTGACTGTTGGACTCCAGATAATGTGTTATGCCCTGGCAGAAAGTTTGTCTGCGTTTTCTCATCTCCAGAGGCTTTAACTTAGATTAAGATTAAGGGTATCAAACTAACCTTACAGAATAAATTTCAAGGCAATCTAATATTGAGGTGCTAGCATGGCTACTATTGGAGAATTTTGGTCAGATTGATGTTGAGAATCAAGATCAAAGAGACAAACACAGCAATTTAAAACAGTGTGAATTTAGCCAGAAAGGAAGTTCTAGATAAGCTGTGGCCTGCAAACATTGAACAGAGGAAAAATTGGTCACTGAAGAGATTAACAAGAAAAAGTCAGCTATTTCTGAAAAAATTAGCCTGAAGACATCACAAGATCCAGCAGGCCTCTAGCCTTTTCAGTCATAGAGTTGCAAAGATGAAAGAAGAGAGCCCCAAAGCACCATGTTCCAGAATGGTGATGGCCTCAGAGAATTTGTTTCTCAAGATTGGGTTTATAGTACTCAGTGATCCACAGCACCAGGGGTGGAATGCTATGGCTTGTGTCTAGGACATTGGGTATTTTGTTCCAGTAACAAGCACAGAAACTAAAACAGACTTTTAGTGGTTGGTCAAGGTATTACTTATAAGTAACTGTACTAACTAGTGTAAACATTTCACCATTTTGAGAGAAGTATAGAAACCCTAACCTCCATTCAATTCCCCTTCACCTCTTCTATTTATCATACAACTATTTTAAACATTTCCTTTTTATTTAGAACCACCTATGACTTTGTTATCATTATTTCTGGAAATATTGATAACATTATTATTATGGGAATATGGAATAAACATAAAATACAGTGATACTCAAAATATCAAAAAAGACATGATAATCAAATTTATGTACATTAATGTTTGCAGCAATATTACTCATCACAGTAAAAGAGGAGATATTCCAAGTTTCTATCAGTTAATAAGTAGACAAAGTGCAGTTTATTGAAACAACAAAATATTTTATTCAGCATAAAAATTAATGAAGGACTGATACCTGCCCTAGCACAAATAACACTTGAATGCTTTATTTTAACTGACAGAAGCCAGAAACAACACTGTATTACTTTATTTATATGGAATGTCCAAAATAGGCAAATTCTTGGAGCTGGAAAGCACATTAGTGACTGCCAGAGGTCGGAGGAGGAAGAAATGAGAGTGACTCTTAATATGTATGGTTTGGTTTTGAGTTGATTACATCATTGTGGAAATAGATAATGGTGACTGTGCTTTATGCCATACTGGACACTTTTAATGGAGAAGTTTTAGGGCATGTAAATTGCTGCTCAGTACTTTGAAGGAAACATACAGGATCCTAAGGGAAAACAGGTCAAGAAAATTCTTACTTGCCAGAGTTCTCCTCAGTGCTGCTTCTAGTGTCTTCTCTCCCATCTTTATGAGGAGGTCACTCATTGGTTTCCATTGTTTCACCAGATTGTAGTTTATTTTGGTCAAAAGTACATGAAGACTGTGGCGTCACATGCCTATAATCCCAGCTACTTTGGAGGCTGAAGGAGAAGGATCACAGGTGCAAGACCAACCTGGTCAGTTTAGCGAAACAGGGTCTTATGATGCCTTTGAGTTCAATTCCTATTACTTCTGTATTTAAAGGGGAGAGGAGTAGAAGTAACTCAATAGTAGAGCAATTTTGTGGTGTGTGAGAGGCCCTAG